TGGGTAGGCTGATACTCAGCATTGTCCCAAGGTCGTTGTATGTAATAAGATAAGAAAATACAATGCCCACTATCCAATTATGTTTTTTGAAAAGAAGAAGAAGAGTGATGGGGAGGGAAATTTCTCACCCACTAGCAACGTGCATATTTATTACAAAATAAGGAAGTCCTCAACAACATGAAAACACTAGTCTTAGATATATAGATCTTGAGGAGATCTGACGATGGATGGTGTACACATAACTGGATGGGTGCATAAAAAATCAGTTCCACTTGACTGAATATGTATCTAGCGGCCAAGCCAAAATATTTAACTGAGTCTGCTACTGCTGACATCACGGGATGGACGTTGTTCTGAGGTGATGTCGCTCCCCACTTGTACGTCGTCTGTATCCAACGGCTCCAGCACAAGAACTGCACCATCACTCATGCCCACTGCAATCTGGTTTGGCTTCCGCGGATGCGTAGCGACAACTGTGGGATAGACAGTTTCACCATCCCTGGGAACAAGAGAGGTAACAGAAACAAGACGTTGGTTACTAGAATTGAAACTACCACTCACAAAAAAAAATAGGAACTGCTTGAAACTCCACATACCTGGATATTGACGATGGTATGTAGGCAGAGGGTGCTATCCTGCACTTTAACGTAAGAGATTCTGCATCGAATATTCCAATTGCACCATCACGAAATCCAGCATAGACCAACAAACAACCAAGTGAGTATACCGCACTTGAAATTGGGGAAGGGGGTGCATCTCTTGGGAACCACTGCATTGTCAAGTTATGGAAGGTTAAATATCAGTGTGTAATGTGCTTATTATAATGCATCGATACGATTAGGAGCATTCTACAAGCATGATATAAATCATGTAATATGTTAGTACTCCAACTCAATAGACAAGACTGCATATGATTAGTAAGAGATGCAAATATATTGTTATGAAAATGTTGTGAATGACTTACCGAGCACAAGCATTCCAATTGCCAATCATAGATCGCCAACTGACTCTCATGAACTACTAAAAGATGCGTTCCATCATAGTGAAACTGCACCACTGTATCACCAACTAAAGCACCGGAACCATTAGATGGATGTTTGATGTATCTTGATTTCTTCTTCTCCCAACCATCAATGCTCCAAACACATAGCTGCAAATTTCATTTAATTGCAAAAAAACAAGAATAGAATGATTCAGAAAGAAACAATACTGTATTTTTAGATATTTATACCTTTTAGAAAGTGGAGTGTATTTATAGATCTTTATATATTTTAGAAAATGGACTAATGGATGGTATGAAATGCGACTAACGTAATGTCGGGGGAGCATAAACCGGTTACCCCACAGCGCGGCTTACGCCGGAGCAAAGAGCACTTCATGGTCCAGCAGGCCACGGCCCATCATCCGTGTAGCGCCTCGACCACTCGTTGCACCCGACCACGCAGTCGGGTCGGGATACGAGGCACGACATCGACCACCCCGGGCCTAGGCTGACCGTCAACGGATATGACCAGGGGAGGTTGGCGCATTCAATGCGTCTGCCACAACGAGACGTGCACGCACCGCACACCCACTCAGACCAAAAGGACGATGACAACCCAACGGACCGTGGGGCCTTAGGATGCATCAACCACCCTTCATACCGCAGGGTCTCGGGGTGAGGCATCACCCCTAGGATTGCTCCCCCCACCAATTCAAAAGGCCACTCCGTGGCTAGGCAATGTCAGGATTTGGCACAGGACCACCCAAACACTGTATGACTCAACGGGCAGGTGTACGGCCAAGCTCGCAACAGAGCACGGGTCTCACGTCCAGGGACTTGACTCCTCAGAACAGGACAAACAAGTTGCCCCCCGACCACCCATGTGTGGGATGATGCCTCGCCGCCCCCTTCATGATCAGGAGGGCGGCCGGTCAGCAGAGGACGACAGCCATAGACTCAAACTAGCGCACGACGCCCCCAGGGGCAGTAGGCACAAGGACGAAGGCCATGCCTCGCAGTATGCGCCCACGTCCCATAGGACTACAAGAGGACAGCCACGACCCGCACTATGTCGCTATGGCGCACCATACCAGCCACGACCTGCACTGTGCCGCTATGGCGCACCATACCTCGACGTGGAGAACAGGAACCCGTGACGACATCCGAGCATGCAAAAGAAGCTGGGACAGGATGCAAAGGGCCCATGGACCGGGCTCGCGCCACCACCCCCTCGAGCTCTCGACCACTGAGGTCATGGGAACCCTTTCCTTTCAATTGTCACTCGGCCCCCGGAAGCATAAGGGAACCGGGCCTTCATTCTAGCGGATGGAAAAAAGGAAACACTCTCTATGGCTCTAGAGGGATCGATCTATTCTCTCGAGTCCTCTCACTTCTGAACCCACGCTTACGAGCACCCCCATTGTAAGCCAACTGAGCAGTTGAACTGAGAAACACGAACTCAACCCCTATGAGACAGTAGGGCTTCGGCCTGAAATAGTATAATCTCCCCATGTCTTGAGTGCTTCCATTGATTCCTAGAGCTGCGCAGCACTAAATTTACTAGTCGGTTCACAAAACACCGACACATAACATTTGACTGTATTTAATTCAGCATCCCTTAAATTTATAAGCAAAAACATAATCGCTAGTCCTAATTTTGATATATATTAGAATTCACACCTGAGCATCAGCACCTGAAGATACAAGCACCTCCATTGATTGCGAAAATGCTAGTCCAGTTATCTTTTTGTGATGACCCGTGAGCACAATTTTAGCCTGTGCAATTTGATTAAGATAAGTTGATATTTTGGCACGTCGATGTTAAATATAAGCTAAACGGTAATTAGTACACTAAGCATAATGTTCCACATAGGAAGAATCCATTATCGTTAAAAATTCTCAAATTTCTAAATGTCGAGCTAACAACATATGTATGGTTTATGAAGGTTTTTTGGGTCATATACCACGAGGTACTTACTACTCTTCATATTGTTGACGGGAGCTACCACAAAGTTGCTATGTAATATGTGTACCTTGTGGTATGTGCTCAAAGCCCGCAAAAAGTACATAATTTGTTATGTCAAAAAGATCATATGTAAAACAACATTTACAATCTCATGATCCTAATACATAAGTAAAACATGAGGGGGATATATAGTCTGAAACGAGAGCACATTATTTTACAATGGGTACATTACTGCATTTCCAGTGAGAACCATATATAATGAGTTTTGCCAATACTTGAGATTCATGGAAACAGGGGATGATAGATTCACGTTTAATACTCACTTCGTCTATACGGACATTGTAGATTTGAATTGAAGAGTCCTCCCTTCCAATAGCTATGATGTCATTGTCTAACGGGTAGAATGCAAGGAAAGTTGCAGCAGGTGGAGGTGCCATGAAAGTAGTCATGACCTATATATGAGAGATTGCACAAGATTAGTGAAGCCAAAGAAAGGCCATGGTGCAACTACGAAATAAAAATTATTTTACGGAAGTTGTCATGCATGATTTGTAAGAGATCAATCATGGAATTAACTACTTATTGTTATAGACAACTGAAGAAGGCATACCTTGAATGTCATCATGTTGAACAATGAGACTTTGCCACTAGAAGCAGAAATTAGATACTGGTCATTTTTGCATAGTGCAGTGCAGGCTGTTGCTTCTTTAGGGTCATTGCCATCAATGGTGTCGTTTGTCATTGGAATGCCATTTTCCGGTTGCCATAGTACAGGTGGAACATATTTGGATGACTAACGAAAAGTAATGATGGATGGTTTTTAGAAAACAACAAACAGAACTACAGTGTTGAAATCTTAAGCTAGTGGTCCTATCTAACCTTGCCACGTGGATTCTTGTCCCTGTGCTCCCATTTCCACAGCTTATGAACAGCATTGGAGCTGAGAGCCAAAAGTGCCAGCCCATTATCTGTGTACAACAAGCGCATAACCTACAAAGAAAACAAATAAAACACAATGCTTATATATCAGAATTATATACTGCTGTGAATATGACCATAACAGTCTTAAATTCTACCGAATTGTTCGGTGTGTGCTATGTCATGAAAATCATAAGCACACGAACAGATATTGATGTGTGATATTCCTTGCATTAATTTAAATGGAAGATGTACATGCAAACGTTGCTGAACATACTTTGCTTGAAGATGCGGTCGGATCTGGCATACGCAGTATTTGAATTTGTCCCGAGCCAACGATGTCCGCCAACTTCCAGGCCTTGGTTACTAACTCAGGGCTTTGCTCATTTCCATACATGCCTACCATTTGTTCGATCACGGTTATCAATTAAATACAAATATATTGAACTGCGAGGAAAAAAAAAAAAAAAGCACGTGCACACTCGGCTGGCCACTCATGAATTCCCTGTCATCATCATAGAAACATGTACAACATACACATTCCAAAACTGAGTGCTTTTCCTTGCATTTCTAAATACGTTCCTTCAGTAGTTAGACACCAATTCATAATGTTATGAATGAATCTGCCTTGAGCCACACAAACACGGCCAACCGGTTGGCAGACTATGGCATTTGTGAGACAACACGGCCAACTCGGTGACATGCATGCATGGCCACTGCAATCCTGCGTGTTTGGATCGGAATCTGAGCTATAGGCAGCAGATCCAGCCGCTGGTGTTCAGAATGAATCTGAGCCAAAAACAAACAGGCCCTACATGCATGCAAGCGAGAACAAGGCAATCAGGATATTTTTACGTTAACTATCACGGCCCACCCACCCTTACTTAATACGGAGTAACTATTTATTTAGATAATCTATGTTGCCCTTGCCCGGAATACTGTGTAGGAGAACCCGATTGAGCTAGGACTAATAATAATTCAAAGGAGACGATGTATCAGATAAACATTTTATTGTGACCATTATACAGATAGAAAGGCAAGATAGATAGGAAGCTAGCAATAGTAAATCAGAGCCAGTAGCATTTGAATTTTGAAAGCAAGTTCAAATGTGCATGCATGATCAGTTCATCATACCTCTTGGTAGCCTGAGATCATATGTTCTTCCTCTACCATCATGATTAGAAGGGTGGGATGTTTTGGATGGACTGCGGCCACGTGCTCCAATGCAGCCTCTGCTTCCACCACATCCCTAAAACTGGCACCTTCACAGTTCAGTTCGGCTTTGACTCGCTGGAGCGAACTTGTTCCAAGGTTCTGGAAGCCAAGCATCTTGTAAAAACCAAGCTGCAGGTTCTCGTCTTTTAGGGACCGCACATGGACATCAAACTCAAGGGATTCAAGACGTGGCATGATAGTATTAGATGATGCTACCCTGCTGCTGTTGCAGTACTTGCTGCCGCGCAGATCAAACCAGATAGATGCACCATCTATCTTTAAGAATCTCAACTTGCGAAAGTAGACAACACCTTCATCAGTACGAATCTTTATGCTAACTACTGACTTGGTGTCACTTTTTGAACACAGTATGAGGCAACTGAGCTCTGGCAACTTGGCAAGGGTTTCCATGTCCTGGTCTTCCACAGCTACCACTAGCAGATCCAGATAGCATAGGTTTGGAGCAAGCGACGAGTTAATCCACGCCGGCAGTGCAGAGAACACGAAGCAGTCCAAACGCAGCAAACGGAGATGCCGACAGGAGACCCGTCCTGCATTGACGCTCTGCCAGTCCCAGTTCCAGCGAGCTGTAATCTTAAGTTCCTGGATGTTGTGCAGATGGCCCAGGGAGTCCAGCAAAGCACTCTCGATGCTCTTACTGATCCTAGCACGAATATTAGCCTTGAGCACCCTCAGTTCCCTCAGCAGACCTAGCTGATTCACAAACTGCAATGTATCATCTTTTTCACACCATACACACAACTCTTGCAATGATGTCAGCTTACCGATCAAACCAGCCGGCACTCTTGTCTCGTGACTACATCGTAGGCAAACAAGTTGCGTCAGAAGTCCCACCTCCTCGGGCAGCTCCTCTATCCAGCTGTTCCGTAAATCCAGTGTTTGCAGAAACCTCAGATATCTTACCTCCCTAGGAAGCTCAGTGATAAGGATACTCCCTACTCTGAGGTACCTCAAGTGAAGTAAACTCTCAAGATGATCCAACACATCTTTGCCGCGGTCTCTGGGAACAGAACATCTTACCATCTCTACTACACGTAAAAATGGGAAGCGTGGACATAATGCACCAAAATTGCACCGACTGGCAAAGATGGATCTCACTTTCTCCACAGCTACATTAGCCAGCTGACTAACGCTGTGCTCTTCAACACACTGTAGGGCTAACCTGCGAGAAATGCTCCGCTGAAGTTTCTGTCGCTCACAACCATTCAATACAGTGACAAAATTTACTTCACTTGACAATTGATGTATCAGATCAAGAACCATATCATGAACCGAGCAGGCATCAACGTACCCTTTATGTCTTCTCTCCTGTGCCTGGATCATGTTTCTATTTATCAATTCATTAAAGTACCTCTCCCCGAGCTCAAATAATGATCTTACCCCTGCATCTGCTCCTTGTTCCTCAGAGATGAAACCTTCAGCTATCCACATCCATATCAAACTATTTTTCTGTATGATACTATCTTCCGGAAATACGCTTAGATACAATAAGCAAGCCTTCAGATGTGAAGGCAGATCATAGTAGCTAAAAGACAATATCCTTCTGGTATTATCTACGTCATCATTGCCTTCATGCCCAAATCCAATTGAGTTGTAGACCTCAGACCAGTCCTCTCCTGGTTTACTAGCCAACAAACTGGCTATTGTAATGATAGCAAGTGGCACGCCGCCACATTTCTTCAAAATTCTTTCACATGTCTCAGCCGAAAGACTATCGAAATACTTCCCTTCACCGTCAACTATGCTTGCATACAATAATTTTTCGGAGTTATCTTGGGAAAGTGGCTGTATTTTGTAATGTTCATCAGCATACGCGGCAACTTCAGAAATGCGTGTAGTGATCACAAGTCTACTTCCACAATTACTTTCTTGCAGAGCACATCTGACTAATTTCCAGGTCTTCTTGTCCCATATATCATCAATAACAATCAAACACCTACATATTCACAAGACAGTACAAGAAATGGTAAATAAATATACGAGACATCATTTATAGTTTTTTTATTCGTATATCACCATTTCGTTATGTTCCTTTCATCACTTTCCTTTATTAAAAATAAATAAGATATAAAGAACCAATAATTGTGCAGCTACATAATCTAAAAGCGGCTATAATTATTTTTTAGCAGTGAGCCAGTGATGAGTAGCAATGATTAATGAATCGGTGATCATATTAGCTCGTACCTCTTTTCCTTGACGAATTCGTTGAGTTTGCCCATGAGCTGATTTTCATCCAAACCCATTAATTTGGGATGAGTGTAAGTTTGCTCATCAAGGGCTATGAGAATGTCTCCAAAGACTTTCTTGATGTCAGGATTCTGACCCACTGGAACAAAAGCCCGGCACTCGAAGCGCGGTTTGAGGTGGTCATAGACAGCTTTGGCAAGAGTGGTCTTGCCTAGCCCTCCAGATCCAACGACAGAGAGGATCTTCATCTTTGTAGTACTAGGCAGATCCTCGTCGCCATCCCCTAGGGACAGCATATTTATGAGCTCGTCCCTTGGTCCCTTAATGCCAACAAGCTCTGTTGCACTCTTGTACAGATTCAAGATGCGAGGGTCGATGGTCGTTGCTGGCTTGGTGACAACGCTGTCAGGTGTTTTGTACCGGTCACGCCTTGCTGCCAACTCCGCAAGCTTCTCGTAGATTTCTTGGATCTGGCTAGAGATGTTGCGGCGAGCCTTGCTCTTCTTGAACAGGCTGCCCACCTTTTTCCGGAGGCGCCGGAGCACGTGTGGCTCAGTAGCCTCATTAGGGTCTTCAACGCGCACCAGAAATGTGTCGACGATGTCTTCCATATCGTAGGATGCCTCCCTGACTTCACTCGCCCAGAGCCTGACCAGCTCGTCGAGCTGGTCCGGTGGAACATCGCCGATCTTGCGGAGGACGGCGTGCACCATCGTGAGCTCCCGTGAGAGAGACTCGATCTTCTTCTTCACGCCCTTTTGCAGGCCGTACTCCTCCTTGAGCAGCTCGCCCAGCTTGGGGAGCAGGCTCCCCATCGCCCCCGTCACCAGCTCCATGGCCCGCAAGCTCGATGGGGATGGTGGCTCCTGCACGCAGCAGCTTGGTAAGTGAGGACGATTGTGTTGGTGACAAGGTGAGCAGCATGTCGTGGACAGAGAGGGACGAAGGCCTACCCAGATCGAGAATGGCCGCCTGGTGCTCTTGGCCTCAAGCAGAAGGTCGTCGGGATCGTCGTCGGGGAAGCTTCACGCCTTCTCCCGCCGTCCAGATCCAGCCCCTGCTCTTGACTCTGGAAGTGGAATGACAGCCACATGACAAGGGCATCCGCAGTGGTTGGCACCCAAAGAAAAATATGGTTGTTAGCAGTGTGGAATGACAGCCACATGATGGGTGTGGGTGGCGCCTGCGGACAGCAGCTTGCATTAGTGGTAACACAGTAGTAAGCGGGGCAGATATTTTTGTGTTGGAAGCAAGGTGGGCTCTGTAGCACTAAGCAGCTAATATATCAGTTATTTATGTTTACATTTATGTTACTTGTGATCTGTGAAAGATGTTTACTTGTTGAAAGATAGCCGAGAACTTGTTGAAAGATGTAACTGAGAACTTGTTGAAACCTGTTTACTTGTAATCTGTGAAAAAATTTGAGCTGAACATGTTTTTTTTGAGCCTGGGGTGTTGGGCCTTGGGTTGGCACGGGCACGCTGGGCCAGTCAGGCCATTGGGCCGTCACGGCATGGCACGAGGCCTTTTGGGCCGTGCTTGGGCCGCTAGTGCTGCCCGTGGGCCAGCACGGCACGGCACGATGTACCTAACGGGCCATGCTGGCCCGATGACCTCCGGGCCGCGCCGAGCACGGGCCCGTGCCGGGCCGGGTGGGGCGGCCCAAATGGCCATCTATAGTAAGAAGAATATCGTAACAAACTCCTCCAACAACTATGGTAATCCTGTCCTCGCCCGAATCCTCTCATGTACTACCTGAGGGTTTCGCGGAAACCAGCTCCATGCCCCGCAATCTCGATGTGTGTGGGTGGCGCCTGCAAGCAGCAGCTTGCATTAGTGGTAACACAGTAGTAAGCGGGGCAGATATTTTTGTGTTGGAAGCAAGGTGGGCTCTGTAGCACTAAGCAGCTAATATATCAGTTATTTATGTTTACATTTATGTTACTTGTGATCTGTGAAAAATGTTTACTTGTTGAAAGATAGCCGAGAACTTGTTGAAAGATGTAACTGAGAACTTGTTGAAACCTGTTTACTTGTAATCTGTGAAAAAATCTGAGCTCAACATGTTTTTTTTTAGCCTGGGGGTGTTGGGCCTTGGGTTGGCACGGGCACGCTGGGCCAGTCAGGCCATCGGGCCGTCACGGTATGGCACGAGGCCTTTTGGGCCGTGCTTGGGCCGCTAGTGCTGCCCGTGGGCCAGCACGGCACGGCACGATGTACCTGACGGGCCATGCTGGCCCGATGACCTCCGGGCCGCGCCGAGCACGGGCCCGTGCCGGGCCGGGTGGGGCGGCCCGAATGGCCATCTATAGTAAGAAGAATATCGTAACAAACTCCTCCAACAACTATGGTAATCCTGTCCTCGCCCAAATCCTCTCATGTACTACCCGAGGGTTTCGCGGAAACCAGCTCCATGCCCCGCAATCTCGATGGGTGTGGGTGGCGCCTGCAAGCAGCAGCTTGCATTAGTGGTAACACAGTAGTAAGCGGGGCAGATATTTTTGCGTTGGAAGCAAGGTGGGCTCACCGCCTGTTCTTGGTCTGAGCTCTGTAGCAGGAGAAACCCAGACAGGGCGCCGAGGAAGCTGCGCGCGCAGCAGCTCCAATTAATTAAAAGAGAAATGATAGTATTTTGATTTTTTTACTTTCACTATTTATCTACATACGGTGTATATCTAAGTGCATAGTAAAAATTGTGTATGTAAATTGAGGAATATTGATTGTATACCATCTGTAGGTACAAGGTACATATATATACACGCATGGGTGACTGCAAGCCTACCACAATTAGCGTGATTACATGCCACAAATGTAGGCCTAATTACAATTAGTCTAACACTCCCCCGCAGTCTAATCAGGGGCATCGCTAATGGTCAGACTGGACCGGAACTCCTAGAACAGCGAGGTAGGGAGACCCTTAGTGAAGACGTCAGCATACTGTGATGTCGTAGGAACATGAAGAACCCGTGCATGACCAAGTGCAACCTTCTCTCGAACAAAGTGAATATCGATTTCTACATGCTTCGTTCGCTGATGCTGCACTGGATTGCTGGAGAGATACACAGCACTGACATTATCACAATAGACCAAAGTGGCTCGGCGAAGAGGGCAGTGAAGCTCAACCAGTAGCTGTCGTAGCCAGGTGGCTTCAGCCACGCCGTGTGCCACAGCACGGTACTCAGCCTCAGCGCTGGATCGCGAGACTGTGTGCTGACGCTTGGACGACCAGGACACCAGGTTGTCACCTAAGAACACTGCATAGCCAGAAGTGGAGCGACGAGTATCTGGACAACCAGCCCAGTCTACATCTGTGTAGACAACAAGCTCTGTAGGCGACGAACGACGCATGGTCAGACCAAGAGAGAGAGTACCTCGCAGATACCGTAGAATCCTCTTGAGAGCCGCAAGGTGAGGCTCTCTAGGGTCATGCATAAATAGGCACACCTGCTGAACTGCGAATGCAATGTCTGGACGGGTGAAGGTCAAGTACTGCAAAGCTCCGGCGAGGCTGCGGTACTGTGTGGGATCAGTGACAGGAGGACCATATGCGGACAATTTGGAGTGTACATCAACAGGGGTGCTGCAAGGCTTGCACTCACTCATCCCGGCTCGCTCCAAAATGTCCTGAGAATACTGGCGCTGAGAAAGAAACAAACCACCAGTAGAACGTGTCACTGAAATACCCAAGAAGTGGTGAAGAGGACCCATGTCAGTCATAGCAAATTCATGCTGAAGTGCCCCAATAATCTGCCGCAGAAGACTGTCAGAGGAGGCAGTGAGAACAATATCATCCACATAGAGCAACAATAGAGCTGTGGCTGAACCTCGTCGGAGAATGAATAAGGAGGTATCTGACTTTGCTTCAACAAAACCAAGAGAAAGAATGTGAGAAGCAAACCGATTGTGCCAGGCACGAGGAGCTTGCTTCAAGCCATATAGAGATTTGTTGAGCCGACAGACAAATTCAGGGCGAGAGGAGTCCACAAACCCTGCAGGTTGAATGCAGTATACTGTCTCAGTGAGAGTGCCATGCAAGAACGCATTCTTCACATCCAGCTGATGAATGGGCCAGTCCTGAGAGAGAGCCATAGAAAGAACCACTCGGATCGTCGCTGGCTTCACAACGGGGCTGAATGTCTCATCATAATCAATACCAGGTCGCTGGGTAAAACCACGAAGAACCCAGCGTGCCTTGTAGCGATCCAAGGAACCATCTGTGTGAAGTTTGTGTCGAAAAATCCATTTGCCGGTTACCAGATTAACACCAGGAGGTCGTGGCACAAGAGTCCAGGTGTTGTTGGCGATCAAAGCATCATACTCAGCTTGCATAGCGGAGCGCCAATTGGGATCCGACAGAGCTCCACTAACAGATGAGGGCACAGGCGACATGGGCACAGCGTGGAGGTTGAGTCTGTCCATGGGCTGTGCAATGCCAGACTTGCCACGGGTCCGCATGGAGTGCGCGTTGGTGACGGGGACGACGGCAACCGGTCGCGTGTCGACGGTGCGGCCATTGCCGCTGGAGACAGCCGGGGCACTGCTGGCAGCAACCTGTCCGAGAGGAGCAGGGGCAGCAGTGCCGGCTGTAGTGGAAGGTGCGCCGGAGCCATGGTCGGTCGAGCGTAGTCGTCGGGCGGTCGAGCCGTGGTCGAAGACGGGCCACCGGGCCGGGCATCAGACCCACCGGCCGGCTACCGTGGTCGTCGAGGGCGTGGCCACCGAGTCAAGGCGTCGTGACCAAAGGCAGGCCGGCTCTGTGGCCCGAAGCGGGGTCAGGTCACCACAAGGCCAGTAGTCAAGGCGGTCTTGGGCTCCGGGCCAGCCAACATGGTCACCGGGCAAGGCCACGGCCTGACTGGGTGTGGCTTGTAGGTACCGCAAGCAAAAGATTAAAGTAGGGAGTGGAAGAGGCAAGTGCTTTGGTGGGAAGCCGGTTGACAAGGTATGTGGCGGTGTTAAGGGCCTCAACCCAGTAGACCGGAGGAAGACTCGCCTGAAACAAGAGAGAACGCAAAATATCATTGATAGTACGAATTGAGCGTTCGGCCTTGCCATTTTGTTGGGAGGTATATGGATAGGACATGCGAAGGGCAACACCATGAGTAAGAAAGAACGTGCGGGCCTGAGAATTGTCGAACTCCCGGCCGTTGTCGCACTGAACGTTCTTGATGGTGAGGCCGAACTGCGTGTGAACATATGCAAAGAAGTTAGAAAGAGTAGAAAAAGTTTTGGATTTTAGGTGGAGCGGAAAAGTCCAAATGTAGTGTGAATAATCATCTAAAATAACAAGATAATATTTGTATCCCGACACACTAACAAGTGGAGATGTCCAAAGATCACAGTGTATCAAATCAAATTTATTTGCAGCTCTAGAATGTGAGGAATGGAACGGAAGTCTAGTGTGACGACCGAGCTGACAAGCATGACATAAACTGTGATGATCATCTTTATTACAAGAAATAGCACTGGAGCTAATGAGTTTGGACAAAGCATCACGCCCAAGATGTCCGAGACGACGGTGCCATAGCGAAGTGGGTGCAGCGAGGAATGCGGACGTGCTGGTGGCTGGTGAGAAAAACGGGTAGAGGTCGCCAGAGCTATTGCACCTGGCGATCACGTTCCTGGTTTGCAAATCCTTCACAGAGAGACCAAACGGATCAAATTCAATGGAACAATTATTGTCGGTGGTAAAACGACGAATGGAAATCAAGTTCTTAATGATATGTGGAGAAACAAGAACATTATTAAGAACTAGATTACGATGAGGAAAAGAAAAAGTGTGTGATCCGATGGCAGTGATAGGAAGTAAAGCACCATTACCCACAATGATAGATGA